CGTTAAAAATATGTTTTGAGTCAATTAAATCCAACCTCGAATCCAATTGGTCAAAATATATATGACATACTGTCATCGAATGTTGTGTGAAATGCTCAGTGACTGATGTTTCATAAACAGAGGGTGTTAGTGTCCATATCTATACAGGTAGGTTCTTAGCTGTGTCACGCAGAGAAAAGATATTAACTCATTTAGCCCTAGAGCCACTTTACTGCTCAACACCTGGATCCCCTCTATTCGCTCGCTTTGGGGAGACTAATAAGTGCTAGTCTCACCTGATTTCCCCGCAGGTTTCGTGTCATAAAGATCTACATGGAAAGAATGTTGGTGTGAATACACATTACAACAATTTATGTCATTTTAATGCAAGTTTGTTAGTGCCTATAGCTATACAAATAGTTTCTTAGCTGTGGCACCCAGAGAAAAGATATTAAAGTAGATGAGATTAGGAACAGTTTTAGAATAAATTTACATGACGAATAAGATATTATAAGCGAGACAGCAATGTTCTTCCACGAATACACGCTCACAGTTTAGTACATTTAGTGATTTAAACTAAACTAACAGCTGCGTGGAGATTGTTAACACGATGTTATGCTCACATCTTTATTTACACTAATAGGCCTTGGGATTTTCCGGTTATTCCACTGTTCCAGTAATACAGTAAGCCCCCCACCCCCCACCCCACCCCACATCTGTCATTAAAAACAACCAACAATACAAACTATCCCCTAAAATATTCAGCCGATGTTGCATTAATAACGAAGTGGTCCTCTTTTGTGTCATCCTCCATACAGCCTCTTGCACTTGTAGTGCACAATGTCAGTCACTACTGAGAGAAGGTAGCCCAGTCAGATAATCTGAAGTCACTGTTTTCTGTTTTGGTTCTAGAAAATAGATCTTCCAACCATCACCAGCGGCTGAAGGGATGGTGTTATTCCAGCTAGGGTCCGTGCAGGTAGCAAAAGTAATGTAAGTCCCCATGGTTCCTGGTGTGGTGATCTACCTTCAGTTGTTGGCGATCTATAGCCCGTAGCCCGTGTAATGGCTAAACACCCTTACAAGTGGCGTTAAACCAAACACATTAGCTTTAAGTTGTAGAAAATCACATGACATTAGACTTTGATTGATGAATTATTTATTTCTGCCTCTTGTAACATATCTATACATAATCAAGCGCTGATCTTCCGCGAAAGGAGTGCTATATAAAAAAGAAACAGCTATTGTTTTTTTCAATATTATCTTTGAAATGACCAGAAATATTATCTGACAATTAATGATGATAAAATATCTTACCTTCATCAAATACATATGTTTTAACATTCTTCATATGTTTATAGCATCATCCACCACGGCTTAGATAAAATTTTACATCAACCACTGTCAACAGCCCGCAATGTTTTCTAAACAGAAATTTCTACCAACCAAAGATAATAGCCCATAATATCGACAACTAACAAGTATGAAAGCTATGGATCACATCCAACTAAAACACCAACTCTATGTATAACACCAATATACAATCATGAATCACATCCCACAAAGATACCAAACATATGTGGGTCATTCTCAAAATTTGCCCAAGTTTTGGACAGTAGCACATTTCTCTGAAAGTATTATTTCAATTTTTTTTCAAAAATCGTATTATCCAAGAAAATGTATTTTGTTCTTCATAATGATGTAAAATGGTGTACCTGTTTGTTATTTTTGGGACAAATTTATGTTTTTATAATCATTTTGAAAGAAAAACCACTGTCAGTGGACAGCGACACTACTTTGCAGTACCATAAAGGTTAAATTCCAGGCCATTTATATATATTTTTTAAAGATTTATAATGAAATCCCAATATTAAAAACGCATTCCTGCATGAAATATTGAAAAAAATTAAATCACATACTTATGATGAAAACAATGACTGTCCAAAATGTCACAGTCAGTGGTGTAACGAATATAAATTTGTGACATTAATAATTATCCCCCTTGAGTAAAATATGGAATGCTAACTGGTCCCTTTGCTGATGCCTTCCTCCTCATGGCAGGAGTTTAGTGGAGGCCAAATTTTATTTTGATGTTGAAGTTTGTTGAATTGGTGAGTCTACTTTGTATCATAACTTTTTATAGAGTCAGTTGTGTAACGCTGATTACTTATTCATATGTACTTTTTCATAACATTGTTCATTTAAAGTACATCAAAGTTAATGAAACATAAACATTTATCAACATTGGTCAGTGGTTAGGGAGCATTAATTGTTATAACGTTCATAAAAGTGGGAATAGGTCAGTGGTGTAACTGTCAGTGGTATAACATGGGAAAATGTTACACCACTGACAGTTTTTGCTACACCACTGACAAAATGTTCATTTAAGACACTTGTTCACAGAACTTAACTGCTTTGCATTGTATTTGTCCAGTATATTTTATTGCCATTAAGTCATGTAAAGTCTGTGAAGGTAATTTGTTCTGGTATATTAGTATATAAAGTTCCGAAAAATCAGTGGTGTAACAAAAGATGTCATTGGTGTAACGATGTTACTGCAATATGTTCATTTTATTGCTTTTAATATTATTTTTGAAAAGCCTTTTAAAGTCTGAGAGATCAGAATTTGCCATTGATCTGTTCAACTCTGTTAATGATCAATTAAAGGCAATTAATTTAAATTTATCGTTGAAGTTAATTCAAGAAAAATCAGTGGTGTAACAAAAGATGTCATTGGTGTAACAATATTACTACATTATGTTAATTGTTTTGTTTTGTTATATTATTTTTGAAAAACCTTTTAAAATCTGAGTGTTCAGAATTTGCTATTGAGCTGTTCAAATCTGTTGATTATAAATTAAAGGCTATTAATTTGGATTTATCTTTGTAGTAAGGTAAAGAAAAGTCAGTAGTCTAACACAACATGTCATTGGTGTCACAGTATTCTTTGAATTTGTAAATTTTATTCTTACCTGTTGATATTATTTGTTTTTCAATGCCACATTTTGAAAATCGTTCTCCAATGATGATTATTAAGTAATTCAAAGCATCATATGGCTGTTGAATTTGGTTTACTGCTCTAGTAAGTTGCAGAAAGTTCAGTGGTGTAACAGGCGGGGTAACAAACAATATCAGTGGTGTTACATGCGTATTTGCTAAGATTTAATTATTTCAAAAGAAAAATTTTAACAGTTAGACTGATATTTTATGATAACTGAAAGCAGCTTTAATACCAATGTATACATAACACATGTTTAGTCTTAAGTATACAAGTTATATCAGAAGAAATATCATATGTTACCATTTCATTCTTCTCACACCAAGACATTTTTGCTAAATTTACAATTACATTTGTGAGAATAATGAAGTGATTTAATTTATATTTAAAAAAAAAATAGGTTGTAAATAGTGACAAAAGTGAAAAATTCCTAATCTCACATCAAAGTTTGAAAAAAATTACTTTTATGCTTGTTACACCACTGACAGGTTTTTTCAGTGGATACTTTAAAAAGTTAATTTTAAAAATATTTTGTTACTTTCCTGTGTGCAAATTATCATGACTGCATTTTTTAATGTGTTGACCATCCAAAACAATAAAGAGATAATTCAATATGATGCTTTTCATTTTAATATTTTTCATAGCATGAACTTGGCCTTTTTTTGAGAATGACCCATGTATAAAACCAATATAAAACCATGAATCACATCCCACAAAGATACTGAACATATGTATAAAACCAATATCAAACCATGAATCATATCCCATAAAGATACCAAATATATGTATAAAACCAACATAAAACCATGAATCATATTCCACAAAGATGCCAAATATATGTATAAAACCAATATAAAACCATGAATCATCTCCCACAAAGATACCAAATATATGTATAAAACCAACATAAAACCATGAATCACATCCCACAAAGATGCCAAATATATGTATAAAACCAATATACAACCATGAATCATATCCCACAAAGATACCAAATATATGTATAAAACCAATATGCAACCATGAATCATATCCCACAAAGATACCAAATATATGTATAAAACCAATATGCAACCATGAATCACATCCCACAAAGATACCAAATATATGTATAAAACCAACATAAAACCATGAATCATATCCCACAAAGATACCAAATATATGTATAAAACCAATATACAACCATGAATCATATCCCACAAAGATACCCAATATATGTATAAAACCAATATGCAACCATGAATCATATCCCACAAAGATACCAAACATAAGTAAAACAACATTATTTGACCATGAATCTAATTCCACAAAAATACTAAACATATGGCTAAAACAAATATAAAACCAAGAATCACATTCCTCCAAACTGCCAAACATGTGTATAAAACCAATAAACAAACATGAATTACATGCCACAAAGGTACCAAACATGTGTTCAATATAGAGCGTTAGTGCAAAGGAAGACACAGTCTTGACTCTCATCAAAAACAAATTCCGTTTGATGTGAATGGACAAAATAGTTGGGAAAATTATAGGAATGGATCACAGAAAATCAGTAATGACACCAAATACTAAACCAATATAAAACCATGAATCACAGCCCACATAACGTATTTCCGCTACCGATATATCCCGATATGCTACCACGAGAAACATCTCCAAATATGCTATATCAAGTAAATGCTTAATAACAAAGTGTATCATAACACATGTATGTACACTTGTGTACATTTCCAGCCAGGACATCAATGTTGACTTCGTGTTTTCCACTTCTAATGCACAATGCTTCTAATACAAAATACACCGCTAAGTTTGGGCAGGGAAGTATTGACAGGGAGTGTCGCCCAGAAGCTTAACAAGAATATCAAATTGTATTTCTAATATACAATGCTTCCACAGTTTTGTTTGGGCAGGTAAGAGTTCATTGAGAGTGTCAATTAGAACTGTACCCCAACATCAAATGTTATGTTTCCCAGCTCCAACAGACAGCTGGGATACCTCCCCTGTTGACATTACTTCTTGGAAAATTGGAGTCTTAATGTGTATAATAAGACTTGTCGTCAGTTTGTTTCATATTCGACCTTCTCCTTCGTCTGGTGATGATGACGCCCAAGAAGATGGCAATGACGGTAACAGCGATTGCGACGCATCCAATGCCAACCACGGCTGGAACCATCCATGTTCTGGAGCCACCAGTGCTGATCTCTCCTTTCACGACTGTAGGGATGTAATAACATGACATGTTAGGGACACCACAAGTTGAAGTGTTTTATTTATCGATGCCTCTTATCCAGCTGTTACAGTTAAAGTTAGCGAGATAGCTGGAACGGTCAAATTGATTGTTATGTATCCATGCCAGTGTTATTACTCCTGTTTGTTTGTTCTGCTAATTACCCCATAGGTGGCTACTCTGCAGATGACTGAATATCGGCCATGTGGAATTTGTTGGAGTAATTTGTTAGAGTATTTCATTCAAAAGTGAACTTACAAAATGAGACGGCTAAAGGAAACGACAAAACGTTTGGTTCGACTAGGTCCTTTTAAAGAGTTTTAAAAAGATAATTAAGGAGTCAACAGACATGTTGGTTTCTACATCCGAGAAGATTGTGAAGCATATATTGGTGTTGTTCAAGGCAGCAGTCAGCTCTATGGGCCAGGCTGACAATCGATATAAACACTTGTTTATTAATTGTACGATTGTTAATATTGTACTCACTGATTCCAATGAATATTGGGGAGTTAGTTGAAGTGAGCGTGATGCTCTGTTCAAGGTTGGAGTTCTCAGTTACATTGCATAGAATTACCTGTTTGGACGCCATTTTCTTCAATAGTGACTTTGAAAGTTCTTGACAAGGTGAGATCTCCTTCTTCAGCCTGTCGTTTCCTTCGGCCGCTACACACCGGCTGAAATTTGGAGCGGAATGTGACTTGGTGAATGATCAGTTCACGAAAGTGAGTGAGTGAGTTAATATTTAACGTCACGTCGGCAATATTTCAGCCATATCGAGTTCACGAAAGTGTTTGGACAAAGTTACACTTTATATTACGCATGACTGTTGATAATGTTGTCATATTGATAATCAACGTTGATATGAATCCTCAGTTTAAAAGAGTCATTAAACACCAAATAATGACAAGGTCTTGCATACGAAAGCAATGAAAACTATGAAAGGAAAACGAAATACCCGGGTCCAACATATTACCCCTTTCTGAAACAGGACAGAACACAGCAAAAATTACTCCTGGAGCGATGTCATGTCTATAAACTGCTAACGGCTACATCAGTGCTGGGTGCTGAAGAAGGAATGCTGCGATTTTATCCCCCTGCCTCACTGCCAAGGGTAACGTTCATGTTAAACGACCGCAAAGTAAATTTTTACCATAACAGTTGAAGCTGCATTACTGAAGACTCTAAATCGGACTTTTAGGACCAGAACAGGGTTGGACAGACTCATGTCATGTTCAAACACAAAAAGCCTCAGGATGAAGCAGATTGTGTGTTTCTGTCCGGCTGGGGAGAAGTAGGGGGGCTCGATGAGGATGGCCTTGTAAACTTGAGGGGCGCACCTGTTAAATCAAATACTTTCGTTGGTTACATACAGAAAGTCCATTGGTTTTTGAGATTGGAAATGTGATCTGATACTGCTTAAAGGATTCTGGAATTCATGTCCAACACAACATCTAGTCACAGTGTAACTGTGCATCGTAAGACATTCAGCAAGTGTTAATAGTTACAAGACTTATGAAAGCAGATGGCAAAATTTAACGTCACCTCGGCAATATTTCAGCCATATAGTGCCGAGAAAGGTTTTCAAAACACAATAAATATAAGTTGTTAAATAACCAGTCATTGAAGTACTGTAAAATAACTAGGGTATCACAGATGATGTTTAAAACTAGCATGTAAATCTAAAACTATTTTATTTACGGAGACCATACAATATAAAAACAGGCTATTGGTCGCCAACAACTGAAGATAGATCACTATGGGGACTTACAGTGCGTTTGCTACCTGCATGGACCCTAGATGGATTTACGGTTATGAGAAAGGACATACATAGAAGCTGAAGTTTGAACGTTGGTACGTAAACATGGGATGTAAGACTGATTATTTTTGGATAAAAAAGTATTTAAATACATTTGTAAAATATACACATTTTTAGATTTCAACATTTACACTGACCACTGCACATGTAGGAAGGCGTGGAGTCATCCCACAGACGACATCCTTCCCTTTCATAGTTAACCTCTTGGCTTCATATGGACAGGTCTTACGACCTCGCATCAGGTCCGTGGTTCGAATCCCATTGCGACACATCAAAATGATATGACCTCCACACTAACATGCCACGTTGCGAATGAACACTTACCCATAATTGTACAGAGAAAGAGATCTCTTGTCCAACCCTGCTCTGTTGTTCTGGACGGTGATGGAGTGGATGATGATACCAGCCTGTCCAGGTACTGGAGATGAAGAGCGAACGCCAAGATGATACAACTCGCATGCTAATGATATACTGATGACGTAATCTAATGAGGCGTGGAAAATTGTTTACATTATAAATCACTGGTTCGTCTGGACCTGGCGTCATTATTAGAATTTACAGTTAATAAACTTGACCGCACCTTTTAAAAGGAATACTACGTTGTACAATTTAGGTCATGGAACACCTTCATATAGCTGGGATATGGTGCAATACAAACTTCTTCTATAAAGAAACGTGTCTGATCGCTTCCCGCAGTTGAGTGACTTAACCGTTCAAGAGACTGCAAGAGAGACTGCGTGCTGGTGACAAGACTCCTATGGAGTTCTTTGATGCTGTGGGGCATTTGCTTAAACTTGGGTAACTGCTACTATAATGACTGTGTTGCCTGTCTGAACTACATGTGTTTATAATGTGATTAATTATATAGCTTAATATATTCTTATACATATATGGCTTAGTATGCTGAATACGATAATTTTTGTACCACTAAACATTAAATTACCTTAATTTTTTGTATACATGCTGAATAAAGTCATTATCCATCAATTTGGATCAGTCCATTACGTATTAAAGGTAACACTGATATGTACCTGAGTGCAATTAACCATAACTTTAGTTGTTTTAACGTGTCTGACAAATGGCACGTTTATCTTTTGGGAGGACACCGTCCAAAATGTTTGCTGAAGGGTGGAATCTTAGCTTGGTTTGTATGCAACATTGCCGTGCTAACAGAATACCCTAGCTGAGCAATCAGCATCACTTCCTGCTGGAAGCTGACATGATGGCAATACTGTTCTTAGCGGCATCAAACACAACTTGCTCACTAATATCACTACACATTATCACCAGTACGATATATTTTTTCATTCAAATTGAGGAAGGGTTGATGCAGTACGTAGGGCAGGATAACGATGCCCTATCTATGCCTAAATTATCTATTACAGTAAGTTTATATGCTTCACGTTACGTTTAAAGGTATGAAATATAACTATGATCATAGTATGAAACTTGCTTATTTCAAAGAAGCACAATGGTGTCTTGGCTAGAGGAATACATCTCTCAGACAAAACAACTTTCAATTCTAGCGAGGTTCGTACAATAAATGGATGAACGATTGGTGAAATAGGTGACAGGTTAGTGAGGGAGTGATGTCTGTTTGCCACCACCTTAGTTACCAGTGTCCCAGTTAAATGACAGCGTCTCAGCCATATGTGACAGGAAAGCCCGAAGTGATGTGCTTCTTAGGCTTTTACCACTCTGATGAAACCCACGAACACAGAACCGTAATTGTGGCGAACCGAAAACGTAATTGGTGGCTTGCGTTCAAAAGCGAATTGTGGCGCCTGAGACGACCAGTCCACCCACGCCATCGGGAGTTTGTTTACGTGATGGAATGAGATTAGAAGATAAATAGTGGGTTTAATAATTCTGAAATGATACCCAGGAGCAATGAAATTCGCACCATTTTGAACGGACAAGGTTATTTTGACATCAGTTCCCAATGCTAGAATGGAAGGGAGTGGATTTCCATCTTTGGCTGTGGCGTCCATATTGGCGGGGACAAGTTGGCTTGTCCCACCCTGGAAAGACGTGACATCGTTGCTGAAATGTTAGAAGACAAACGTGACAATAATTATTTACCCAAAGATGAGTATGCATAACCCGGTAAAATAAAAACATTGATTTTGGCTTATGTCGTTTATACCTTCGGGGTCATTATAAATTGTCACCAATAGCAAGTATTAGTTTGACACCCAGGAACAGAAACATTACCACAGATTATGTATTGGTTTGTCTCTTAGTTCACGCCGCATTCGGCAACATTCCAGCTATATCACGGCGGTCAGCGAATCTTATCATCCATCCTCTTTAATCGCCTGTTACGACGAACATAGACTGCTGAAGATCAAACAACCATAATTCTGATACCCATGGGAAGTTATACTTGCCACCAACCTACCTGCCCGACTGGTCTTCAACGCCGATGTTGTAGTTGACTTCGAGGGAGTTGTTGTTAAACTCACAGGTGAAGGTGACCTTCTCATCAGTGCACTGCCTGAGATCTCTGGTGTATTGCACAAACAACTGGAGTACATAGGAGGTCACGTTGCCCTGTGATAATACACAACAGCAATAGGAAAGCGTAAGTGAGACGCCCCATGTGTGTACAGTCCGTTTGATTTCATTTGAGACCGATGAATTGCTCGCTAACATAAAATCTAATAATTGCAACAAAACCAAAATTTGCACTGTCACATGAAATCGACAGATCAATTCCGAAAAAAGGTTGTTTAACGAAAGATCATTATTTTGTTGTCACTTTTCGCTATTTTTTGCAAGGGGCGACTTGCTAGTAGAACAGCCAGATGTGCGAGTTGCACGTGTGAAATCGAAATTTCACTACACACGTTTGTTGATTACCTGGCTGTCCTACCACCAAGTGGTTTTATTGCAATTGTTAGATTTTGTGTTAATGAACAAATCATCGGTCTCAAATGCAATCAAACGGACTGTATTGATTAATGTTCGTGAAAAGAACACACAAAAAGACCAACAAAAAATAGAACACAATATACCCGTTATCCGTGTGTCACTATTAGCATACTAAATGTGAATGTTTTAGCTATTAGTATACCGAATATGAAAGTTTGTGCCAGCCGTCTGTATGACACCATAAGAAGAACAAACGTGAATGTTTGTCTTTTCTACGTCACCATCAGAATGACAAATGTAAAAGTTTGTGCTAGTCTTCTCTACGTCACCATCGGAATGACAAATGTAAAAGTTTGTGCTAATCTTCTCTACGTCACCATCAGAATGAAAAATGTAAATGTTTGTGCTAGGCTTTCTACGTCACCATCAGAATGACAAATGTAAAAGTTTGTGCCAGTCTTCTCTACGTCACCATCGGAATGACAAATGTAAAAGTTTGTGCTAGTCTTTTCTACGTCACCATCAGAATGACAAATGTAAAAGTTTGTGCTAGTCTTCTCTACGTCACCATCAGAATGACAAATGTGAAAGTTTGTGCTAGTCTTCTCTACGTCACCATCAGAATGACAAATGTAAAAGTTTGTGCTAGTCTTCTCTACGTCACCATCAGAATGAAAAATGTAAATGTTTGTGCTAGGCTTTCTACGTCACCATTAGAATGACAAATGTAAAAGTTTGTGCCAGTCTTCTCTACGTCACCATCAGAATGAAAAATGTAAATGTTTGTGCTAGTCTTCTCTACGTCACCATCAGAATGAAAAATGTAAATGTTTGTGCTAGGCTTTCTACGTCACCATCAGAATGACAAATGTAAAAGTTTGTGCTAGTCTTCTCTACGTCACCATCAGAATGACAAATGTAAATGTTTGTGCTAGGCTTTCTACGTCACCATCAGAATGACAAATGTAAATGTTTGTGCTAGGCTTTCTACGTCACCATCAGAATGACAAATGGGTATATAACGTCAGAAGAGAATACTTATCATAGAGAATGTCAAAAGAGAATACCCACACTAAAAGACGGTCCGAGTTCACCGCAGGTGCCGTTGTAGGGTATGACGGCGGCATATCCCTTGCACCAATCCACGATGCCGTCGCTAGGGTCGGCTACAGTCGGAGCCAGAGTTAAGTTGCATGCGGAGACGTTCTTGAAGTTGTGTACATATATATCCCCGCCAAAAGTGTTGACGGATAAAGGCGTGATACAGACACTGAAGTTAGCAGGATTGCACTGGTGAAAATCTGAAAATAAATGGTAGAGAGGTTTGGAAAGAGTGAGCAAGTGCCTTCAGCTTGATACCCCTCTGAACGGTATTCCAATTTCATCACATTAGCTAAACGTGTGAAGAAAGCGCGAAGTGAAGCACTTGTCAGATGTTTTACCAATTTAGTGAAACCGACGAGCACGGGTATGATGGTGACAAACATGGAAACATACTCGGGGAGAACCGGGATTCGACCCAGGTCGGTGGGGTAGCCTAGTGATTAAAGTATTCGCTCGTCACGTTGTGAGGAGCCCAAAGCATAACGTTTCTTCAACGTAAATTTGCAACGTTCTTATTACATTGTGACATAACGTTATACGTTGTGACAACGTTGTGTCATGACGTTACCAATCTACAACCTTCCCACAACGTTGTGTGTTAGCTGGGATACTACTCAAAAGAATATTGAATTGAGTTGAAGCATTTCCAATTCTTTTATACCACTGATGTTTATTTGCCATGAGGTACCGAAAACACGTTTAAGACATCCCAAATCTTCTATATTCCTACAGTTGATATATCACATTAACTCTAGTAAAATGAAAGGATCGGCTCTTCGTAACGTCTTTTGAATTAAGCCACTTGTTGGCGTAAATCAGAATTTTACATGTGTACTTCATATAACATAATTACCTTGTTTACCATATTTAGTCTGATAGTTGACTTACGATAGATACGTCATTTACCGTAGAAATCATGCCGGAAGACAAATATATCAACTCACATGCAGGTTTATCGCAAATGTCCCCTGCAAAACCTGGATCACAGATGCACGTGCCCTCCACACATGTTCCATTCACACACGCTGGACTGCAGTTCGTGGTTTTCGTCGACGCTAGAGCACACGCAAAAGGTCAAGGTCACAACACACACGTCATCATTGTACTGTATTGCACAATCTGTGATGTGTACAGTGAAATATATACAGGTAGACACAGCAGTACATTAGACAATATAGCACGTTGAATATGCAATATTGTGTCTGTCAACAGTTTTCAGCCAGAAATCATTATTTTTATCTGTCATTTTCAGTTCTGTCGTTAAATGATAAGATTGACAGAACATATGATTGTTGGGCTAAGACCTGTGTTGGATGTATTGTTTGACAATGGGGGCAACACCGGCTGGAACTACATGGAATATCCAATGCTTAAACACAGAGAACATCATCCTTATTGTACCTAATCATAAAATAGGTGGGGATTGCAAGCCGCAATGACCACAAAATAATGGCATGATGGTTTACCTATTCCAGTGGTCGATCACAGAAAGGGATACGTCATTTCGACGTACCTGTGGTGTTGGATGTGATACGTTTTGTATTTACGTCTAATCTAATGTTATTAAGTTTAAAACATTACTTTCAATTCCACAGTTCACTCCCTCGAACCCCGAAGAACAGTTGCAGAAGCCAGTGTTGGGGAGGCAGCCGTCGTTGTTGCAGGTGCCGCTGTTGAGGCAGGGTTGACTCTTACCCCTACCACAGTGGAAGGAATCTGGAGCTGATGTGACAATCACAAGACATTGGGATGTGAATATATTGATACAATACAACGACTTTAAAGAGTGACTATTTGAACTGAACTAATTAGTATAAATCAGACTATCACTTAGAATAATAGCCAAAACAATACCATTGGCATGTGAAAGAAGTATTGTGTAATCATAACAATTCCTGAGGCAATCTGGGTTTACTCAAGTATTTTGTATTTATTGGAGTCAAGTTGTTAAATGGGTAAAACACCTAGTTCCAAACATACATTTCCTCAAAATATTGCCTTTTGAAACAGGCTAAACCGTCAATTTTACCACAGGGTTTATACACAGTAACTAAGAAACTGACCATCGTTGTCGCTGATGGTGACGGCCACAGTGATGTTGTTGGTGATCTCTGTGCCGGTGATGAAAATGGTAAACACTTCTGTGGGTTCCTGCAGCTGTGGCAAAATGTATTTTTCATGCGTGAGTTTGTTTTGGCATGACTGACTGAAAATGGTTTTACGCCGCTTTTAGCAATATTCCAGCAATATCACAGTGGGAGACACCAGAAATGGGCTTCACACATTGTACCCATGTGGGGAATCGAACCCGGGTCTTCTGCGTGACGAGCGAACACTTTAACCACTATGCTACGCCACCGCCCCTGTTTTGGGCAATGAGGCATTGTGGCAAAAACATAAGAACATGCAGTGTGACTGCTGTTTCTGTGGTGGTCACGACCAAAGCCATAAAAACTCTCAAAGGTCAAGCTGCCTTCACAGTTACCCATCCAACTGATACTCCTTACTTAATTTTGCCAGGCTTATTGTCTCCATACAGGACCACAGCAACAATTTTCTCCCTTTGGAGACCAATTCAAATTGGCACAAACACTTCAATCAAATCATATTTTGTTCACGTAATACTACAACAATTACCTCCCCCTTTAGACCAGTTTAAGTAGGCATGACATTTTGTAGAAAATGTTTTGTCAGCAGTGACACTCACCAAGTCACTGATGACAGAGGCCAGTGTAGTTGTTACTCTCGTTACGTTTTCAGCAAATGTGATATTTAACCACAGTCCGAAATGTGCAAAGTCCGTCCCGGCATCGGCAGTACCAGCGATGATGTGCAACTGGAGTGTGAAGCTGTGGGTGGAGGTGTCGTTCCTCTCAAGTGTCAGAGTTATGTTGTTGGAAGCGTTCTCATTGATTGCAATGTCAGCAGGCTGCTTCAACTGCACCGGTGCACCTGCAGAAATAGTGTCTCTGGAGGATGAACATTGTGGGGAAGAGAGTAAGAACAGGTCACCAGTATTCTATTGCTTGTAGAGAATGTCGTCGCTATTTATTGTTTCGAGTCTAGATCAGACAATCGTCTGATTGGCACCATGATCATCGATCTATACAATGGGGATATGATTACAGGCATCACAACCAAACCACCAATCTTACCATCAGATCCCGCTAATCGCATCTTACAACAAGTATAGGTTGCTCAAGACCAGTCGACCTTATTGGAGAGAGTCGTTAAATGCCGTGCCTTTCGGTGTAGTGACTGAGTGAGTGAGTTCATATTTCACACTCAGCAATATTTCAGCTATATGGAGGCGGTGTGTAGTTAATCGAGTCTGGACCAGACAATCCAGTGATCAACAGCATAAACATCGATCTACACAATTGGAATACGATGACATGTGTTAACCAAGTCAGCGAGCCTGACCACCCGATACCGTTAGTTGCCTCTGACGTCAAGCATGGGTTACTGAAGACCAATTCTAACCCGGATCTTCACGGGTGCCTTTCAGTGTAACTTGACGGCGTTGGAAATAACATTAACCAGCGGATTGTCTTGCTTACACTAAATTAGTTACGTCGACGTGAAGTAGCCGGAATATTGCTCGCTTGATAAAAGTGAAATTAGATGCTTGTAACATCATATTATGTCATGATTAAAGCAAACAAACGTATGCAATATTTCTTCTCTTCGTACGGGTTTACGTATTGTTTGACGAATATGATTTTTGTCTAGTAGATTCTTTGAGATATCACTGACGTTCATCGTCGATTATGGTGACTTTCACATTCATGTCAGGTTCACCCTGTAAGAAGCTTGTTAGTTTGACCAGGAACGTCTCTCCAGGGTCGAGCTCCTGAACAGAGAATATGTAAGGAAATTATCAAAGCAATGGATGACTACTACTACTCATAATTGTCAAATATCGGGGCAGATTTTCTCACCTGTTCTTACAGTAAAACAAAACATTTCTTCGTACATATTGGTAAAATCCCGATTAAAAACTAGTTTTAAGCAATACAATGTCACAAGAATATTTGTTTGTTGTTTACCGTTTTTCGAGAATGGCAGTGTAAAAACATGGCACATGTTTAGAGGTATTAGTCGTTTCAAAGATTCAAAGAATACATCAACATGTTGCAAATCAAACAGGTAAAGCACGAGGAAGGTTTACATCATTCTTCCAGGGTTTATATTAAAGACGACACTCTGTGAGTTTAAAACTGAAATAGTACTAGACAACATACGTTGAACAGCACGTCATATCGATACAACAGGCATACTACAGCATTCATGCATTAGTAAAACAGTTTTATGTAAAATGCCCAAATGTGAAACATTAGTGACAAAAAAATGCCTGATGTAATTCTCAGTTATGACTGAAACCACATGTTTCCGTGATTGTTTCAGATGCACATTTGACTTCGCATGTTTTTGACTAGTACCACGGATTAAACGACATAAGCTCTCCTTTTCACGAACATCACTATATGGATCATACTTAATCTCATGTGATTTAGTGCGGTGGGATAGCGGTTAAAGTGTTCCCTCGCCAAGCCGAAGCCCCGTGTTCGGTTCCCAACATGGGTAAAGTGCGCGACGCCTATTTCTATTCTACCCCGACGTGATATTGCTGGACTTTGTGCTGAAAGAGGCGTACGCATGTACTCATTACAAGAAGGAAAAGGGGTTTATTGCTTTTTAGGTCGGAAATTAAACTTACCGTGTCATCCAAAATGGCGATCGTAATGGTAGAGGTGTTTTGGTCAAATGGAACTTGCCGTGACGTCTCAAAGACTGGTGTGTAGTCGGATTCATCAGCTGTGTAGTCGGATTCATCAGCTGTGTACGTGTAGTAGTATACATCACCAGCGGAATCCACATCATAAACTGAGTAGACATATTCAGCTGTGTCATCCGTCTCGTACTTAAAGGAGAACGATTCAGTCAGTAAGGTATTGATAGTTTAGGATGATGAACCTAACAGGTCATTTACTTGACCAGCAGATCAAGCAATGGATATTACATCATGGGTTAACCTTGGTCAAAACGAATTATTTATAACAGAAGGACACCACAACAATACATTGTGTAAAATGCCCTTTGATCCTGAGCACAAACCTACACACGTTCTTTTCATACAGCTTCATACCAACTAGGGCTTGAACAGGAAACTCTTGTACTCGGGTAGGGTTGGTTTTGCTTTGGACCCGGGTATCCATTGTACTTCTCGGACCCGGGTTAGTAACGTATATTGTATATTGTTTAATGACAATAACAATGCTCCTCCATACTTACACTTCAAGTTGCTGGTGTTGTCTCTTTCTGCCAATGCAGGCATTCGTTCTGACGTTTATAGAAATAGGAAGCTTCAGTCAATCTCAGTGCGTGCATGATCAGGGTCCACTTGGGTCTTATGTCAATGTTATAATATGACACTTATGATCATCGGAGCGCTAAGATCGCATGTGCAGATGGGACCAGATCGTGTATGTGAATAGTGTTTGGCCGGTGTACGATCAAACACCCTCTATCAGACTTTTTGTACCCAACCCAAGAGTCCTACAGCGTGTCAAGCCGAGTAATAAGGTATCGGATACCCAGGTAGCAAATTAAATTTGGACTCGTTCCAGTCTCAATATCATCCCGTTACTTTTGGTTATTTTATAGGGGTGACTATTGAGGGGGAAACAACTATTGCGATAACGATAGTCTATTGCAACATAGTATTTTTCTACTTGAATTGTCTTCTTGAAAAGTCATTTACCAAATGAATGTATAGTGTATATGAAATAAAAACAACCAGTTTTTTAATATCAATTTTTTACCAAGTAGTCTTTTAATATCTGTTCAGAAATTTGAAACTGGGATCAAATAAACAGTTACAATACAAACATAAAAAACAACATAAATATTTGTCAATGGAATTCAATTATTAAACTATCGATAGTCATACATACTATCGATGCATCAATAGTTTTTTCTTTCTACCATCGATTAATTATCGGAGGCTCAACAATTGCAATCTATCGATAGTTCAATGCATCTTTACAGCCTTAATATTCTACATGAAAGTAATAAACACTCACAGTGAAACCCCAAAAGCCGGAAGAGGGCAACATACTGTTGGTAACAGTGAGAACGATAGAGCCCGCGGTCTCGTCCACTCTTGCAGGGTCCGGTGTCACCGTTATCGTACCTGAAAGAAAGTATATTGTTAAATGCTGAAAAAATACCTGAACTTCATTTACATTTAACAAATACACATCCCGATACACCAAAGACATGGACATATGTGTTACAATCAAATACACATCGACTAAAGACATGGACATATGGTTATTGGATGAAAATCGAGTACCCATCGACTGAAGACACGGACATATGGTGATTATTTGACAATGGAGTACACAAGGACCGAAGACATGGACATATGGTGATTGTTTGACAATCGAGTACACATGAACTGAAGACACGGACATAATGAATGAATGAATGAATGAATGAATGGATGGATGAATGAATGAATGAATGGATGGATGGATGGATGGATGGATGGATGGATGAATGAATGAATGAATGAATGAATGAATGAATGAATGAATTTCCTATAGTAAATTGACATCCGAAGATTTACAATATGCCTGATGTTACTGAGCAAATACATGATGTTAATATGTACATGAATATAAATATGAGTCCTAATGACCCAAGCTGTATAATTAAATAGTCGATATCACATACGTACACAAATGACAGCTATTTGTGCACAGCAAATGAAAAGAGAGGATGGTCTAATACATTTTTCAGATGAAGTACATATTTACAGAATAATAAAGCTATTTTTTTTAAGGACTTGGATCAGTTCTTGTCGGGTGCTGTTGTTGTGTTCGCTGTTGAACACGACATCCAACAGGTTTTCTATTGGGGACATCCATGGAGTTATTGGCTGCAAGTAATCTGTATGGGGTCAGGCGTTGTCACGTTGACAAACGACACCACATGGCAGCTAATGTACAAATGATAGGGCAACTGGCCGACGAGTGTCCTCCATGTAACACTGAGCTGTCAAATTTCTGTTAACAGTGATCAGCGGTCTTCTCGCCTGTCCATCCACAAATTCATCCCTTCAACAAAATACCCCCCTATACAGCGCGACCTCCTAAAGGTACCATGCCGGCCGTTTACTTTATTGAATTTGTACGATTTTAGGTGTGTGTGCCCACTGTCAATTATTTTGAATGTTTGATTTTGTTAACCTACCTCGATTCGGACAGCTATCATGGCAATATCAGTTGCAGTTTAACTGTCTAATAAAGATTGTGATTTTGCAATACCTTTTACTTCATAAATATTTTGTGGTTTGTAATTAGATTGATTTTAAACTTTCTTTTGCTCATCAGTTTAACTTTTTGCACTGCCATACTTCACTGCATCACGACACTCGTGAAGAGCAACCTCCTTGTGGTGAGTGCTGGGTAACGCTGATAGCTGATAGCCGATCCCAGGGCAGAATAGGTCCTCAGCACCACATTGCTAATTTTAAGTGAGTGAGTGAGTGAGTAAGGATTTAGAGTCACATCGACTTTAAAAAGTTATGAATTCATAATAAACGCAACTGAATTATATAAAACCTGTCAACGAAGGACAGTAAAAATAACTAGATTATCAAAGATAGACAATTAAACCTAGCATGTAACTGTAAAACAAACTTTTATGGACAATTCAACATAAGAATAACGGGCTATAGATTGCCAACAACTGAAGGTAGATCACCATACTATGGACCATGGGGACTTACAGTACATTTGCTTCCTGCATGGGCCCTAGCTGGATTTACACTATCCCTTCAGCTGTTAGCAATTTAGACAAATCTAGCCATACATTACAAATACACATATTCTACGGTTAAAAATGTGGAGAGTTTAAATTTACTTTGACTACTTTGGGGCTTACGTACCCTCTCATAGACTAGTCAAATTTCTAAGAAATGTGGATTTTAAGGATGCATGAGGCATTTTTGAGTAAAAGCAAGCAAACAACATTTTCTGGGGTAGTTTTTCGTGCTGAATACGAATCTGTTGTTTGCTAAGCTCAATAATGCCTAATTAGGTCACAAATTGGGCTCAAAGGTCAATGAGTGCAAAATTCAATTTTTTTAAAAAGTGTTTTATTTATCATTTTCCATCCATACAATGAACTCGTTTTACAATATATTGATTAATAATGGTACCACAGGATTTCAAAATGTTGGTTTTCATGGAAATGCTGAAGGAAACATTTCGTATTTTTGCAAATATCTCCCTTATGGAGCGACTTTTAGTTTTTGTGTGAAGAGCTAATTTTTTACAAGCATTTTTGCTCAAAATGCAAAGCAAGGCTAAATCTTTTCCTTTTGTTAACAGAACTATATTCCAGGCAAACTATTTAGATCACAAAATTTGCATATTAAGTGCATAATTACTTCAAAGATTAATGAGTGTGACAGGATGCGATAGGCATTTTTATATGTATGCCACACGAATGCTTTTATACTGCTTCACATGCATGTCAAATGAAACTGCTTTCATTCATGCAGTGAGTTTGATTAATGATTTTAGCAACATAATTACCCACGGAACAGTTCAGGAAATCACAGGAACAGGTGGGAACCCTATCTGATAATGGAATTGATGGCACAGCTCTATGCTGGTTCAAGTCTTATCTGTCGTCCCGTCTCCAGCAAGTACTGATAGAGGATCATTACTCTCTCTAGGATCTGTTTTGCAGCTCTACGCAATATCAGTTCCATTAGGCAATACCTGACTATAGATTCGGCAAAAACTCTCACCTTATGCGATGTAATGACCTGCCTGG